AATTGTACAACTTTTACATTCCACATTTTACTTTTGCAAATTGGAAATGGAGCATTAAACTAACGTCAAAGTAGCACTTTGAGATAGTTACTTTTGACGTAAGTTTGATTTCAATTTTTTATAGTGGATACGCTAGTTTCATAGACATTTCTCTGGTTCTGACGATATTCTTGCAAATGTTGAATCGACGCCGCCCGCGTAAATCAACACGCTTATAACGCTTTAACGACCTCGATTAGCATCAGATTGCATTTATCGATATCGATCGCACGCTCTTGTATGGTATAACTTACTTTTGTTCTTATGTATGTCGTAAACGTCACACTTGTTTCCTGTTATTGTAATATCACGTATCATTTTTGCGCATATTTTTATATTTATATTTATTGCAACGCATTATAGGTAAGTTGCACGATTAGTTTAATTCTTTTAATTCTATAATTTTTATTTTTTGTGTCATGTTATTGTATTTAATCGTAGTTTTTAATTTTTTATGCATAAATCTATTACTATAAGTATTACTAGAAATTTTCTCGAGTTTCTTTAAGTAAGTGACAAAAAAGTACGCATATAAATCCAAAAAAAAAAAAGAGAATAATATACGAAACATCGATTGTGCTTAATGAAGCAGTTGGATGTTATGTGAAATATTTTTGCAAATTTAGTTTGTTTCGCTAAATGAAAGGTGTGACTTATACTTGTGTTTAGTGGTTCATTTAACTTTACATGGCAAAGATTAGGCAAATCGGCCAGTATGTCGAACTTGGTTCGTCAATACACAAAGCGATAAACGATCGGTAAATTACGTAATGACGTTTGCCGACATCCGAGAATTGTCGTGTGATTAACCGCGCGCTGACGATAGCACGCGGAAATGCGAGGTGATCGATTCTGCTTTAATCGCGGTCTACTATATATTCTGTATGTAAATGCATTTATATAGCATGCAGCATATATAGTAGATCGTGATTATGCTTTATCGTGAACATACATAATCAGGAAATAAGCTTTCATGTGATGAAATAATGCTTTCTCAAGAATAAAATAGTTAAATAATTACGCGCGAATAATTAAATGTATATATAGTATATTTATATTGTATTTCTGTTTCATAAAATGATAAAAAATGCAAAATCAATAGAATCTATAAAATAATGAAAAGTTATTAATAATTAGAAATAATTTAAAAAAATATTTAACGCGAATAAATTGCTCAAATACACAAAGCGAAATTTTTAATAGATTGCAATAATTTGGTGATATTAATTAAATTCGTAGTTACTTTTGTAAAGTAACTTTTAATATTATTTTAATATTAAATTTGAAATATAAAATAAGTAAAATATAAAAGCTGATAATATGAATATATTACTGAAATAATAAATTTTATTAATTTTTGTATTCTATTTTACAAAATGTTTCACCATAAATACGTGCGATTGAACAAGTGCATCTGCTATACGCTTTGTACGCATCAATGTACCGTGTATGCATTTCTCGTACAACTATGACAACATGCTCTGTTAACACCAAATGGCAGTTTACTCCCAACTGTGGAACACTTGGCAATATCATCACACAATAACATTAAAATATCTGTATTAAAATATCTTTTATTTAGCTCGTGTTTATAGCGCGTTATTTAGCGACAATTTTACAATTCTTTAATGTTTATTATAGTAAACTGAATTAATGAAAGGAAGGACTTAATGAGAATAAATTAACGAAAAAAAGGAAACTAGCGAAATACATATCAACAAATTTTTTTTATTCTAATAAATTAAATTTGCAATATAAAAGACTAAATTAGCGAAATTTGTATCAGAGTTGTAGCAACAAGAATCACATGACGATAAATATTTTCCGTCGATAGTCAATCGACAACCGCGTGTGTATTCAATGGCGATTGATCAGTATCATAACACATGGAGACTTTTTCTTTAGTTTTCACATGATCGTCAAAGTAAAAGGCGGCGAATCGAAATTTCAACGTTGCCAGAACGTGCAAAATAACGTGTTCGCTTTTTTCCGACACGATGTCACATATATTTTTGCTCATATACACGAGTACATTTATATTTGTGTACACGTAGCAACCGTCACTTCTGTCGCGCACGGGTATACGGCGCCCGACAGCATGCCAGAGGCACGTGATGTCACATAGAAAGAGAGAGTCGTTACCGTTATGCAATGTCGGCCACTGCGTACCGGGACACACGCGTATGCGTATGCATGCGCGAGAAAGTTGCGTGGCCCGGCCAAACGCTGACCTTATGTATTGCTCGCGCACTTGTATACGCATTTGACACTTATGTATGCGTATGCATGTACGTGAGATATTTATAGATCGTTTTGTTGCCATTTCGCGCAGTGTTTAGATGCGAGGAAAAATTAGCAGCGGATAATTTCGAACGACTCTTAATTGCAAGAATATTTTAGGATTTTTGAGAGAGTGTCAGATTGATATTTTTAAATTCTAAAAAGGATTTATAAGTCTCTAATACTTTAATCTTTTAAATGTTGCATGTATTATTTAAAAAGCAGTTTATAGAATTTTCGCAAAACGTGTATCTATTTAGGTTCTTAAGGTCAATGAATTCAAATCTTTTGAATCTAAAAATTTTTAATTTTAATATAATAAACAAATCAATATACCAGATACAAATATGAAAAATAATTCTCTTTTTATCAACTTTGAATTAAAAAATTTACATCTTAATTTTTTAATTAAAGATTCTTAAATCATTAAAATTTTATACAAAATTTAATGTTCGAATTTTTAATGGTTATATATTTAGAATTCGAAATTCCAATTGCGCAGAATTCAGCATCTAAAAATTCCCGAGTATACATGTTTTATGAAAATCTAATTATTTGTGCTTATTGCAAACGGTTTGTTGTGGTGATTAAAGCGCGGTGCATATAACTTAACGATCGGAGCAAGTGGTGCTCGTGCGAGCAAGCGAAACGAATCTTTTAGAAACTATGAAAACCAGGACGTGGTAATGGTGATTACGGTGAAACCTTGCCAACATGTCGATACACCGGAAGTCGGCTTCTGATACGGGAGAAATGAGAAGGAAGCGTCGCGCAGAAGGTGAAAACGCTGTGAAAATCTCAATTGAAAATGCTCTCGGTTAATGCAGTTTGAAATTTACCCTGTGTGCTGCAGCCGAAGGCGAGTCAAGGTCAAGAAAGCTTACATCACTCTCGCAATGAGCAAGTTTCCGGTGGGCAGGCGAAACTTATCTTCCGCTCGTGATTGTGTTGACAATTTGGGAGAAGTCACGAGCATTACACGCGTTTCAATTTACTCAATAATCGGTAAAATCTTCAAAATCGAAGAAAATACCGCATTTGACAACAAATGTTGCTAATGAAAATGATCTGGGGAAGTCAATTTGGGATTTTAAGAAATATAATAAACAACATTATTATTAGAATAAAGATAAATAGCCGACTTTTACACATTAAAAATATTTTTCTATATTTTATATTTTGAACTTTCAATATAATCTTGTGTGGAGTTTATAGAAAGTGCAGAGTATACTTCGGCATATTGTTTTTGTTGACATCCGTCTCTATATTATTATTTATTATATTGTATATTTCCTCCTCTTTGATTGGGAAATACCCAAACATTTTCCGTTTCGCGCATGGCGCTGAACACAGGCGTGATTTCAATCTACGTGATCATATTTATTAATTCAATTCACGAATCCGCAGTGACGTTAGCAGTCACCATCAATTCATATCCGTGACGTAAACGTGTTTCTGTGTAAACGCTTTTATCGCAATAATTAATTTTCATCTTGTCTCATAATAATGACAATGCGATATTTTTCAGCGATGAAATTTAGCAAAATAAATTCTCTTGTTTATTGGAGTAAATATTTATGACAGAAGAGTTTATTTTGCTGGATTAATTTCTGCAAACAGAAAATACTTTTAGCTCATCGTAGCTTCGAAACGACACATGACGAAAGACTCGCACCGTTGCGTAATTCCCATCGACTTTCCGAAAGCGACAAGACAAACGCGTAGGATTGCCCGCGAGCTCGAGAAAATTCGAGGACGAAGACGATCGTGAGAAAAACCCTTGCGCCGCCTTTTCGATCAGATCGAATCAAATCGATTAAAACCCGCTCATTGATCGCACCAGTCGGCATTTTTCATAGCGGATTTGTCGGATTCGCTGCCGCGAGAAATTGCTTAATGAAGCCGTCGCGGCTCGGCACCGCCTGAAAGGAAGGTAGAAACGTTGCAGTGGGTCAAGGAGAGACGCCGGCTTTCACTTCCTCTCGGCAGTCAGCGCAAACTCCTCGAGAACGCCTCCCGAGCCGCAGCCTTTTTTCCTTCCTTTTCTGTCGTTCTTCTTTTCGCGAGAGTATTTATCCGTCTATGATTACGCTTAATTATTTCGACCGATGAGATGTGTTCTTAAACTTAAGTGGACACTAAATTGTAATGGGAACTATGATATGCAATTTATCTTGAAGTATTATTTTTTTGTTTACTAATGAGGATGCTATAACGAGCTCGAAAATTGCCTTTAATAAAAAATTTATATGAAGTGCGCCGCAATAGATAAAACTTAATGCCATTGTTTCTGAGCTAATAATTTATCACCTTTATTTTTGCTTTATAAAATCTCGATGCTTTAGGCTTCACAAATTTGTTGTAGTGACGTCTATTTTACGGCGCTACGGCGAAAGTCGAATCAATATTTTTCAGATTCACTTGGCCTTCGACTGTGACATAATTCTACGTTTAATAAGTAGAATGAATTAGAGAAAAAAAATATTTGCAACCTTAACACAAATTTAACATGTCCAAATTTTTAATACTTATTAGGATTTCCTTTTCAAAACTTACACAAAAATCCGATGACTGGCAGAAAAATAATCGATGTTTATATTCTATGTTTATATTATTTTATGCTAATTAGCCACTATTTTTGATTTACTAGTATTAACGATGCATCTCATTATCTGTTACAGTGGACACCAGGGAAGTTCAACCGCACGACACGGGTGAGAAAGAACAGCTGGGCCTTGTGAATGTGAAAGTGGAGCCGGGGTCCACCAGCGCGACGACCACCAGTACGGGGACCCGTCTGCTCCACGGCATCCTCTCCCAGCATCCCCAGCAGCATAACCTGGGGTTGCAGAACGGATATGGCCGACACTTAGCCGGCCATGCTCAGATGGGCCAACCGCCTTACACCACTGCCGCTATCGCCACGACGAGTACGCCAGGTAAGGTCATAGAGACCTTTCAGGAACGCTTTTATGAGATTTTATTGCCGCCGTCACGGCGCATTGTTCGCACAATCGCGGATTTTAATAGAGTTTCAGTATAAACTGCGATATAATTTAAAATAATATAAAATAGCGAAACGGAGAGTAGAATTAGACTGGAAAATTCGAAAAATGTTAATATTTGTAAGTGTATAAAACAAGGCGCCAATTTCCGTTAATTGAATCGTGGTGCGACAGCTCTTGTAAATGGTTCGTTACCGGAATGACAATTGCAGGTTGATGCAATTCAACGTTTCATCGACCGATTGCATCGTCGATTGCTCGCGCTAGTCGACTGGAGAATAGAACAATCGAGGAGTAAGAAAAATCTTTCAGCGCGAATTTTCTTAGAAATAATCACAATCGTAGCGCAAAATTAAAAATAAATGATAAAATATTTCTCGCGATTATGGTTTGAAATTTCAATGGGTCAGAATTGATTTCACAAAGTTGCATTGCGCAATAATAAAACTGCATATCGGTAACAAACCGGTTGCATATTCGGCAGGAATTTGGGCAGATCTTAAAATATTCGACTCCGATGCTTGCATGAAGCAGCACAGGTATGATTGCCTTACGTAACACGGAGACGATGACAACGACGACAACTTGGACGACTCCGACGACGACGATTCTTTGGAGAGGATGCGAGAATAAGAGAGAAAGAGAGCAATGACTCTGTGCAGAACCCTTTGGGGTCCGTCTGAGACGGTTAGTCGCGCAGCGAGGGAGAAAAGGAGAGGAGAGGGACCGTGGGAAGAGCGAGTAATATGCATACCCAATGACCGGATGACCTTCGCTCGTTGCATAAAGATGCCTTTAATTGATGGCGCGCGCGAAAACACGTTCGGCACGATACGCTCGATGAAGTCGAGCGAGCGAACGAACGAGCGAGCTAGCTGGTCCACCTCGATGGGCCACCTAATTTGTTTAAAGCGGCAGACGACAGCGACGTGCAGCTTCAATTTAGGATCTGGCAGAAAGCCGAACCGGTCGATCATTAATTTGTTACGTCTATGTAATATCGAAGTGAATCAGCGATTCGATAGTTGCCGCGTATTTGAAGAGTATAAAGTATTTACTAAAGCTAATATCATAGTTATTCCAGCTATTGGTATATTAACGGCTTTAGAAGCGAGAAATTATCTCGATACTTTTGTGATAATCTACTTTTCAAAAAAACTATAATTTTTCGAAAGAGACAAAAAGTTAAACTTAAAAAAAATAGATAAGAATTCCATAGACGTCGCAAAAATTAAATTATTGCGGAGGCAAAAAACAAAACTCTTACAGCCGTTTGTTTTAGTAATATTTATTTATTTCGAAATAATGTATATCATAAATAGTGTGCATTATAAAAAATAGATAAGAATTCCATAGACGTCGCAAAAATTAAATTATTGCGGAGGCAAAAAACAAAACTCTTACAGCCGTTTGTTTTAGTAATATTTATTTATTTCGAAATAACGTATATCATAAATAGTGTGCATTATAAAAAATAGATAAGAATTCCATAGACGTCGCAAAAATTAAATTATTGCGGAGGCAAAAAACAAAAATCTTACAGCCGTTTGTTTTAGTAATATTTATTTATTTCGAAATAACGTATATCATAAATAGTGTGCACTATATATTCTTCCAAATAATATCTTGAAAGAAATAATTTTGAGAGGACGATACTTATAATTCTTTTTTCTCCGCACAGTTCTTTTTATTTTTATCGCGCTCTTTTGAACGGAACGGAATCAGACGAGTAATTAGCAACGGCGTCGCGTTTTATCGCTAGCCGTAAACTCTGCTGGTTATTTATCACAGAGGATGCGTCTTCTCCCTTTGTTGCATGGCGTCGTCGATTGGGAACAGGAAGCGGATCACTGCCAGCGAGCCCAGCGGATAGCGGAGTCAGCGACGTTGAGTCTAGTACATCCTCTGGTGGCAACGAAGATGCGAATCTCTTACTAAAAGCCAGGCTCAATCCTAATTCATCCCTCCAGCCAGGTCTGGCATCTCATCATTCTCATTTGTCGTCGGGTGAGCTTATCTTTATTTCTAGTGCAATTATCGATAATACACACGAAACAAAACGTCTTAAATAATTCGAGATCGAAATTTCCTTACACACAATAATCACTTTTACAAAAAAATTTTTATTTACATTTATCAATTTCAAAAAACATTGTCGTCATCGAAAAAGAATCGCGATTTAAATCTGGCTTCCTATTTTTGATTATTGAGCAGTTATCGTTCAAGGAAGTTAAATGAAAGTCAAAATGGAAGTCAAAAATTTGTATACATTTAAATTATATTTACGTCGAACTAAATTCTTTTAATATTATGTTGTGGGAATTTAATGGATTAAAATTTCAAACGGGAAACAAAAATGTACGATCTTCGATGCTGAATCGCGACATTTCGAGACGGCACTTTTTCATTGAATGCCTCCTATTGATTGTTCCATAGCAGCGCTCGGCAGGTCGACCTGCCACAGCCCCGGCGTGTACGCGTCCACGGCGAGCTTTTTGCCGCCCTCCTATCATCCTCATCAGCATCATCCCTCCCAGTATCATCCGCATCGGGGAAGCTCGCCGCATCATCAGCACAGCAACCACACCATGGGTCCGACGATGGGACCGCCTCACCATCACCATCATCATCAAACGCAGAGTCTCCAGCATTTGCATTACCGTCAGCCACCCACACGTAAGTGCAAATTATATGAATTTTTATTTATCGCGAAGATATCGTTAATATAATTAGCGATTTCTACATCAATACTATTTTACATGATTACGAGCAACAAAGAATTACAGTAACAACGTTTGGCTAACGTTGAATAATACTTTGTTGAAATTCTTCATCGAAATGAAGTCTGAGAAATCAACATAGAATAATAACGCGCACGTATATTTTAGATAATTCTTATGGATTACTCTTTGTCTGGAAGAAGCGAATAGCGATCAAAGTATATTTGAGCGACTAGAATTTAGGCTGGACTCACTTACAATAAGGCGGACCTTTTCTTTGACCTCGTTTGCTTATCGGCAATTTCGACGGTAGTAGATGTATCTCCGATCTCATCGCGATCGATCCGCGGTCGGAAGGAGGAAAAGACGGAGGGGAGTACTCGATGGAACAATGATTTTGATATCTCGCGGTGGTATCTGAAGGCTGGATCGTTGTGACGTAACGACTCTCGGTAACCCGAGTTTATTTCAACTTCGTAGATATTGATTCGATCGCTGTCGGCCAACCAGACGCGAAATATTTTCGTTTTGACGGGAAAGAAGGTGACCCGATAATCCTGCGTGACTTACTGATTTTATCAAACAGTAAATTTGCTTTAGTTGCAAAAATTGATTTTTCAATCATTCCGACGGAATGCAACGGACAATATTGTGTCGCCGAGGCGACGGTTGAAACGCATTTGTATCGTCAATTGTGATGACAACAATTTTAACTTAAGGACTGAATAACGTGTGCGAAAATATATTTTTTACTTTTGCTTATTCTTGGAACAATCGTACGAATTTGTATGCTCCGCCAACACTATAATATTCAAGTTGTTGACATTTTATTTTCCGTTATAAGCGAAAGAATACAATTTTTCTTCTGTTAAGTGGAGCTTCGTATAACTTTCTATATTGTACAGAAACGGGTAGACACGTGAGACATTGATAGACGTCGAGAAATGCTGAAATAAATTTTCTAGCAGATAAAAAATTTTACGATTGAAACAAATATAATATACGTGTTGCGACTCGAAAGGCGACGTCTCGCAAAAGCCGGGTCGAGTTTCTCGAGTATATGAAGACAGGAAGCGACGACGTCGCGTCGTCCGCGATCTAGTCCGCCCGAGACGAAATCGCGAGAGCACTTCCTCCGCGGTGCATGCCAAGTAAAAGGATTTGCTCTGTCGTCGCGCATAGTAGAGAGCGTTCGCGTGATGGAACTCGCGATGCGCGAGCTTCGCTGTCAACGACAGCGATGCCGGAGCGCGTTTGTCTCGTTCTCGTGACCCACTTGCCGTTCTCCGATTCGACGGCCCAGATTCGCTTCCTGCCGCCGAAGCATTTCCATTTACACTCTCACGTCTTGCGGCCGTTTGCGAATCTTGACAGATACTGACGCGCGCAATTTTTACTTTCTATATACTCGTCTTTGATGAGAAAAACAATACTTTTTTTTCAAGCATTTACATGGCTTTGGCTAAATATAAATTCTTTTTCGCAGTTTCGTTTTAGAAGTTTTGAAATTGAAACTTTGCTAAAATAAAAATTCATTAAAAGGCTTCTTTTTTTTCAACCATTAAATGAGTTTAATCCAAATCGGCGAACCTGACGTCCCGTGATTTCAGGAGACAGCCGCGTTCGGATCGGCGCCAAAGTTAATTTCCTGACGCACCCAATGAGCGTAGCTCGAAGTGAAAAGCGCCGACGTTAAATCGCGGTGAAATTCTCCGCGTGCGAGCACAGAGTATCAATTATCTCGATGCGAAAAGAAAAGAAAAGAAAAACAGGCGTGCGCGCGTCAGGCGGAAGCGTGGCAACACTTGTTGCGTTTTATTATCATCGTAGGCTGCAATTCCCACAGTGATCTACAATAAGATCGAACTTTCCCTAATTGAAAATATCCGCCGCGAGCGCGCGCGGCTGCCTTTAACCTGATTTTTACAGCGATGCTTTTCGAGACGGCCGTTTTCGTTCGAGAAGAGGGAAAAATTGCCCGCGGGGAAAGTCTTTGCCGTATTTTTAGCGCGCAATACGCAATTCGTGGCCGTGCGGAGATACGATTATAATTGCCGTTCACTCGTTCATAAATTTCTGCCTCTGGAAATGTTTCCATACCAATAAAAATACTTTAATGAAAATTTGCATGGCTGTAAAGTAAATTCTCAGGTTGCTTTTCATATATGCTGCCGTAGACGCGTTAATATTCAACAACCAGTCTATAAATTTTTACAAAAAGGTCGCTGAAACATGAAAAAAACAATAGCTTTGTCATAATTATGTTTCAGCGGACGCTGCATTGCAAAATTTGAGAAATAAGAAACGAAAGAGCCCGTATGCATTAAAGATTGTGACTGCGAATGAGCGGATTAGAATTCGACCGATCGAGTGATCTCGATCTTAACTCACTTTGTCCTGATGGGTCGAATTCCAGTCTCCAATTTGCAATCTTTAATCCGCAATGCATAGTCTGATACGGGCTTAACGACACTGTGTTATATCGAGGTACGTTCGACGGACTGGTGCGCCATGCTGCGCTTCGAGTAAAAGTGTGCCAGATTGTATAATCGAACGTGAATAAGCAAAATGTTACGCCATAGCGATTTGGTAACGTCGCCGAGCCCCCCTTCTTCTTCCCGCGCTCGACAGGCACGGCCGTGTTCCCATTACGGTGAGCGCAACGGTGAGCGCGGGCGGACGGGAGAAAATTCAACCTGTTAAAGGTCGCACATTTTCGCGATCGTGACACCGTTTCGATTCCGGATGTGTGAGTCGAGTGTACAATAATACTAAAGCGTTAGTCTAAAAAAATATTTCCAGGTTTCCTTCTGCCTGCGTTGAAAACTGAGAATTAACTAAAGTTAAACAAGTTTGACAACTTTAGAAGGATAAACAAAATCTTGTTCCTCTTTGAACTCTATCTAAATTTTACTTCGTAAAATTATTAATTCAGCTTTATCTCATTTAATTTTTTTATGCAGAAGTAGAAAAAAAATCTGAAAATATTTTTTAGACATTAATACAAAATTAATTATATGATTAACTAATTCATACTTCTGTAAAATCGCGCTGAGAAGTATACATTTTTCGTTCGTAAGAAAAGACATTTGCAATATATAGTTTACTAGTGATTTCTATTTGGGGATAAACTGTAATTTAACACACGTTAATGAACCTTTCTCAACAATCTTGTGCGACTCGCTACAGCATTGAGTGAATCGTTGCATTCGGACTGCCAGAGCACGCGAATGCATCCGCGAGAATCCGCACGCTGCCAAAATTGCATCCGGCGACTTTCCGCGATTCCGCCAAAGCCAACTGGCTATCAGCCTCTTTTATCTAGATCACTGTATCACAGAAACATTACGCAACTCACACGAGAGTAAGAGTTAACTATGATATACATATAACTTCGTATACTCTGTGCTCGAAAACGAGTGTTGCACTGTTTTTAGCTTTCGATATTTTTTTTCCGCAATCAATTTGAAATCTGTATATTTCTGCAAGAAAAAAACTTCAATTAATTGCAGCTAATTGTTTATCAATTATACGTAGATATTTCATCAATTATTGATAGCTAGCTTGATAATATCGGATTAGTTTAATCGATCGGGCAATTGATAAGCGTGAAGAGGAGAGGAGGAAGAGCGTCGTTCACGAGGTAGAAAATAATCAGGAGCGTTTATCGAACGAATGTTTGCCTATCCGCGGTCAACCGCGTAGATCTCTCACAGCGGGCGCCATGTATCTATCTACCGGAATAGCAACTCAAGGAAAGAATAGCATAGCGCGCTGCTATTTTAGATCGGATCATCATCGAGCCGCGATTCGTCGTCCATTAGCGCCTCGGGAACATGTGAAAGACCCTTTAAGCATGCCGGGAACGAAAGTGACACATGCGACACGCGTTGGCAAACTAGCGTGGCATGAATTTTGACGCTGACGATGCGTCAAGCGAAAGTGTTACAAGGTTTCGAATAGTGATAGAATGATAGAATTTAAAGGTGATTTTTATTTCTCACATTGATATATTTATTTAGCTCTTCCGCGCTTGTTGCGACATCGTGCAACAATCTCACGAAAGATTAACTCTCACTTTAGCGAAATTTTTGCAACGCGTTTTTAAAGGGGAATAAATTAGCAATGTATGAAAAAGAGAATTGAATCAAAATGCAATTAATGGCGTGGTAAATAAATGATAGATTTCCTCTGTAATAATTTCATCGAAACGTTTTGGCCCGCTTTTGAGCTCTTCTCGGTACTCTATATTATCTAATATTCAGCACACACTAGCACAGTTATTTATTAAGGAGAGCTCGAATAGCAGCAGAAACGTTTCGATAAAATTATTGCGGAAGAAACATACAATTTATCACGCACTGTTAATCGCATTTTAGCTCTTGCCTCTTTTTTTACATTACTATATGGTTTACGAATTATATTCAATTGCTTTAATTTATTATTATAATTATTTTTCTCATTTTATAAACAATATATAGAGTAAAAAATCTTGCGCGAATATCAATACTATGAATACGGAAAAATAAAATATGGGGAATATTTTTATAAATTATATTTTTAATTTATTCTGTTTTGGAGAATAAAAATTCTACAACGAATTGTTAAGATTATTCACGTTAAATTAACATTTTCTTTATTTGTTGTTTGAGCGAATAAATAAAGTTTGAGTTCATGAAAATAAAATAAATATCATGATATGAAATTTTTATGGTATGTATAAAAAAATGATGTAAAAAGAATGTTTTGAAATAAATATATTTGTATAATTTATGAGAATATTCCCTTATGGTAAATTACATCGTTTGTCCAGTACGTGTATTGTGTCAAGGACGAAGCCCGACTACACGCGAGCATGTGAATATCAATTATATTCTGGAATTTGTCGTGAAAATAGTCTCCGAATACATTACCATCTCGATTACCGCTATGCATAAAAATACTGTCCAATATTTT